TCCTTTTTTAGGTAGAGTTGCGGAGAAGGTAGTCGATTGTTCTGGAATTTTCAGGCCCTTCAGATAGCGTTAAAGCATGCGTGCCAATACCTCGGTCAGTGCTGAACCTATTCATTCCACGAGTTGTACTGTAATACAGTTTTTGCCAGGAACCCTTCCTTGTTTCACTTGTTTTATTGCTTGGCGCTTTTTTCTCTCAAAATATTTTTAAGATTCATTTGTATCTTCAGATTCCTTTCGTCATCTGGGCTGTTGATGTTTTCCATTTTGTAGTTTTCTGTAAAAATCAATGGTCTGTACACTGTGTGAAAGTTGACGTTAGATTAACGTCCAGTCATGCAAATGAAAACAGGTAAGACTCACCAAAAGAAGTTGACGTCAGTGAGTAGGGTAACGTGAGGTGATGGTCGCGGTTCTGATGATTATAGAAAAAGAAATCGCCCGTTGATAGTTGAAGGATGTAATGCAGCATTGCATTTTGCATGTGTTGGATACTATTGTGTTACTTCGTATGCGTCACTTACGAAGCGGATGCTTAGACGAATGCGGTTTCTCCGTTGCAGCGAAAACGATGGTCGTAAATTGAAAAATAGGCATCAGTTCAGACGGTTTACTGTGGCGAATATTCATAAACAGGAAGTTCATAAACTGATGGCAAAAGCATTGTTACACATCGAAAGAAACTGAGCTTTACACGAAGTGCATGCCATGAGTTTTACTTTCACAGGTGTTGCATTCATATGCTCTGTTTGCTTGAATCAGGCCCAGTAAGTAGAAAAAGAACGCTGGCATAAATGTCGTCAAACGTTCACATGTATGAGAGAGCGACATCTCTCCTTTCGCAGAATTTCCTATTATTTCCTGAAATGCAGACCTTACATACTTATGCCATACTTCATCGTTATGTGCAGTAAATGGACAGCATAATCTTTCATATTTCGGAACAAATAGTGCGAATGCCTCAATTGCCTTCTATGAATCTGCAGTGAGCTTTCTACTGATAGGCAGTATAAAAGGCGAGGTCAAATAATACAGATGACCATCAGCAAATGACAAATTCAAACTCGTTACCGCAGACTGCGCACTGACGCACTGACATCGCACAGGCGTAATTAGAAATTCAGCAGGTTGACAGCAGCGTCGCATTTCATTCACAGAGTGCTCCCCCTATATATATATCTTCATCGTCCATCGCCGCTTCTCCTTTCGCGTCGCTGAGGCAGACGCGTCAGACAGTGCTTCCAACGT